AACTGGTGCTTTCACATGTGCAGGCTTTGCTGACCGACTTTCTTTCGATTTTCTAGCATTTTCTGAACAGCACATGAATTCGTCACATTCACAGCAGACAACAGGTTGCGGACACAAGAGAAAACAGCCTTTTGCTCTCCAAAATCCCTTATGTGGGAACTGCTGCTCCTCTTCTTCTCCAAATGTGTCATGACTCAATGGTATAACATGATGATACAATTTCCCATTAAGTTCCATTATAGAGACTCCATCACACAACCTGTATCCCTCCAGTTGCCTTATTAAGTTAGATACAGTAATATTTCGAACTGTTCTTCGATAGTCCAGGTACAAAGGATGATCTTCAGGTAAATAGTTGTTGCGATGAAATGGTATGAAACATGAACACGGAATACATTTCTTCGATGAGTAAATTGAAACTCACTGAAATGCCTTCTAAGGAAAGCCAAGGGCACAAGGGGTGCAAAACTCAACTAATATTTTGAAAGAGAAATTCACATAACACAGTCACAATCGTAATAGTACCTTAATATAAATCACTACAAGCATGAAAAGATCCGAATACATTCGACCAGACAAATTAGGTTGCAGCATAGTTAGTAGAGGTCTCCTCTACTAACTATGTTCATACTAAGCCTGTCACTTGTCAGGTATCAGCTAAAATGTATATTGGCGCGACTATTTTTACAATCATAGTCTCACGAGTTAACTCAGTTGTTTACGAAAGTTGCCAGAAGCTTCTAATAAAATTCATAGCTATACATTGTATCTTCCTGTTGGCAGTAATGTTCTGGCAGACAAATGCTGTTAAATCGCCTTGGGCTGCTACCTCTTAAGTCAGAGACGTAACTTGCTAAGGTTGAGAGAATGATAAAGCAAGAAGTGAAGTGATTTAAACTTGTTACGCAGTTTGTAACCGATGGACTGCATGCTCCAGTGTGCTTCCAAACATGGGCTTGCGGCATAACGCGGTTATCCCTTAAAAACTTTCAAACCTTTCTTCTCGCATCCTTAACAGCATTTCTTCAAATGTTTGAAGTTCTGGCTTGTAGAAAATTTTCTTTGCCTGTAATACTCTGAGATTGAGGAAAGCAGTCCCTTGTGCGGGAGCTTTGCGCGGGAAGGTTCTCTTTCGTTTACGCCTTGGGAACTATCTCCTTAGACTCCAGTGGGATGTTTACCACCGTTAGCTTTGTTGACAAAGTTTTCAATACACTTTAACACTAGTCAAATTTCCGCTGTCTGTATGTCACACACGAAACTTGAGGTGACTCCGTTAGGTGGTATTCGTGAAAGCATTCTACACTGTCATCAATCATCCAGATAAACTGTAATTGTAAGCACATTGCAAAATTCTGTATTCAGTATCGGGAATATCCTAATCCAATTTCATCCTGTGAGAGTCTGATAATAGGGAAGTTTTGTCCACAGTACTTCACGTATTCATCAAATTCGGAAGGCCTCACGACAGGAAAAAAAAAACAAGAAAGAAATATGAACGACTCTCGTGGGTTTATTGTGCCACAAACACAGACTGCTTTCTTTCCAGGCTCTCGAAATGTACGAGTCATTCGAAATCTTTAATCTGTAATCTCCGGATGCTTGCGGGTCGAGGAAATTATACTAAGTTCGTTCAAATTATTCGGTTTGCACAACAAAATATTGAGCGGGAAGTGTCAGATTTTATATCGGTAAGTTTCTAAAGAAAATGTAGTGCTGCGTCAGTGGAAGAGTATAGCAGGATAATTTAGTTTTATCAACCGAGTTGATAGCGTAAATTGGCCACCGTAAAGAGTTTCAAAGCTGACGTTTCGAGCGGTAGCCCTCTTTACAGTGGCCAATTCACGCTATCAACTTAGTTGATGATACTAAATTACCCAGATGTCATGTTGAGTTGCTGGAAGCCGCGTTCACCTGTCTTGTTTTGAAAACAAAATGTTGGTATTTTATGGTATTTCCCATCATTTAGTTAGGTACGAAATATAACTTAGAGAATAATGGCCTGACGTGGCCCTAATTTTTGGCTGGAAGATGAGGTAACTGAAAGAAAGTAACACTGGATTGCAGCTAGTTATTTCTCTCAACAAGTTTTCTCTTCAGATTTGCAGTGGTTTGAGTTGGGTTGGGTTACCTCGGATTTTCTAACGATTTGCAAACGGCTTACTTGACATTACGATGTAAATACGGCGTCAAGTTATGTTCTAGAACATAGACTCATCACACAATGTATAGAACAATATGTTTTTCCCGACGTCCATAAACTCGTCTGTCAAAAATTACAATGAGACTTGGGATAGTATCGTTTGGATGAGTGTAATCCTGAGAATGACTGTTGTCGGTAGTGGTGACTGACGTTTCAGCAACCTGAGCGGAAGTTATCATCAGAGCCAAGTGAATAGTTGTTGTTAACAGTCGGTTTTACAAAGTTGGTGTAAACTTATCGGTCAGTTTAGCTGTAAAGTTAAAGGCTGTATGACTCAAGTGACGTAACGGTCTTGATTGTTTAGTTACGATCCGTCGGTAAAGTTAGGTCGTTCAGTTCGTTTCGTTTGTAATGTTAATGCCGTGAATGAGTCATTTGTATGGTGCCGGTAGTAGTTGACACCTGTTGAGGGCAGTCTACTCAGAATTAGTAGACCAGCTTTCCAGAGTCAGTCAGTGAAAATATCTAGTGCTTGAGGTTAGGCGTAGCGCACAGTCCCTGTCAATGGTGTGTTTCTTAAGTCGATGATGTTCAGTAGTGTGATTGTTGACGTTTTCTTTTCTTCTCGCTCGCTTGTGTTCAGCTCTTCTTGTTTTAAGATTTCTGCTTGTCTCTCCGTTTAGGAGGCCTAGCAGTCGGGGCAATTGATCTTACAAACTGCTCCCTGATTATTCTTCAGTTCGTCCTTGTCTTTGACGTTTGTCAATAACTGACGTAGTTTAGTGATGGGTTTGTGGGCGACGCGGATATTGAAGGGTTGTAGGATGTTCTCAGGTATGCCCTTTATTTAAGGAAAATAACCGTGTCCGATGTTTGAAAATCTTATAAAAGCTAATATTTCTATTTCATTTTCTGACAGGCTGCCAGAAGAATACCCTGTTGTACCTCCTCGAGATCCCCTCTTTCAGGTAAATTCTAATGTAAGGTTGCGTAGTAACCGACAGTAATTGTTGGAAACCTCACACCAATGGCCCCACCAGAATTAGGTTGGACGTGAGCCAGAAAAAAAAATGGGTCTAGTACACGAAAGCGAGGCTTAAAGGTACAAGGATTCGAGGATTTACAGGTAACCTTTTTAGGGGAAATATTGTGAAATAATAAACTCGTCTTTTCTGTCTTACCCTTGTTTGACAAAGTTTCAAAGCACTTCCAAAAAACTTTCAGTTTGGAAGTTAGCCAAGAATAAAGAAAGCCAAACAGAATAAGTGTTAAACTACCCTTCTCACCCACAAATAACCTTAAGACGTTTTCTTTTTTTTAATGTTTTCACGCGAGAATTTGACCTATACTCGACCCAGTTTTTCTGACGATCGTCCAAGCATATAGGACAGGGGGTATTGATGAGTGTTTTGAGAATGATCATCAAGTCCCAGGTCTTTATTGCGTTCGTGGTCAAACATCTGTTTTTATGTGCTTCTTATTGCCTGGAATAGATAAACAACCTGGTAGGAAATTTATTGTTAGAAAAACTTCACTCAACAGAATGCTTGAGTTTCTTCACTTTGTTTATGCTTAAAAGATAAAGCAAAATTTCAGCTTTTTAGTACGCTTTTTAGCCAGCGCAGGAAGCTGGAGTCGTTTACTGGAATGTACGCACTTATGTCTAACGCTCTTGTGTTGTATCTGTAATCAGTTCACCTCGTCTGGTATGCGTCCCAGTGCACCTGACCCAGTGATCCACCTGTCTGAGTTACCACAGAGCACTGTACACTCTCCTCTTATCCTTACTGGACCAGGGACAAGTCCTGCCAGGTAAGTTGATCGTAACTGTGCATCAATCTTGGATTACAGAAATTTACTTTACGCTTGATTACTGAAGAGAACTTACAATGGTTAGTATGGGTTTATGACTAAGTGTATGGTCAGTACGGCTGGACGCTGACCCATTTCATATTGCAGTTTTCTGGAAAAAAAAGAAAAAGAAAATTAGACTAATATCCATCCATCTTGAAAGAACACGCTTAGTTGACAGTAAGGGATTTATTGTTTGATCAAAAGATTTATATGAAAAGTGCGCTTTTGTGGTATCGAATCCGGTGGTATAGAGTGTGAAAAATCGTCCATTTATGAAGACAGTCAGAACCAACTGGATAACAAATTGAAAGGAATAAGCCTTTACGTCTGTATGCATACATACACAATGTTAACAATACATGATACTGTAACATTCATACAAAGTTTTTTTTTCTTTCTAATCGTACAGTGCACCATCAACAATGACCCGTGCCGCTTATACACGGCTTTCTAGTGCTGGATTTCCGTCCATTACTGACCGCCGTGGTAACTCTCCACAAGTGATTGATCATAGAGAAGAATTACCAATACATTTAGATACTGAAACAGTCGATCAACTTCTGAGCAATGAGATTGTCATTCAGTTTCTTGCTCTGTCCAGGTATGGAAGAGACTACAAGCAGACCTTATTTCACGCACTTATTCCATTCAGATAACAAAACAAACAAACCAAAACAAAATTGTCCCAAATGCCCCATTCTGGACGCGTGCCAGGGAAAATTTGTTTAGTATGCGAAGTCGAGTCCAACAAGTTTATTACCCGGGAAAAATGTTGGGAAATGTTAGACTCGTCTTTTTTTAACTGTGTTTGTGGTCTCATCGCACAACTGTAGAAATTCACTATACTGAATTTACCTTTTCTATGGTTGTTTCTCTCTCTGCTCTGGAAATTGCTTTATATTTATTTTACTGATTGAAAGTCAAGTCTCCTCAGTTGATGATCTGGGTTACCATGTTCGGTTTTAAGACATAGTATTCTGCTGACAAGTTTTCCCCCACCCCCTCCAATTTAAAGAAAAGGGAAAACCCTACTATTTTTCTATGTGCGCTCAGTCATAAGACATGAAATCGTGCACATGAAAGCATCGTTAGGCAATTCAACATTGACTTAAACAAATGATCTGTTTTTATCATAACAGATGCTATAACAGAAGCGCTTTCTTCTCCTTTCAATTCTACCGATTTCCTCAAGTTACCACTGAAAGGTCTGTAACTAAACTATCACTCGGTTCAAAATTAATTTTTTTATTACACTTCGTACAAATTTGTCGTTTTTAATTTGTGCTAGAATACACATTTTCAAAGAATATCAAAATTTGAGTTCGTTTTTTAGGGTCTACCTCAAAGACACTGATGGTCAATCTCAAGGGATTCCTTGTGTGCTTCAAAAATTCAACAAAGACGGCTTGCCCTCCGACGAATCTCCAGGCCTGATGGTGAGAGATGACTAATGTGCGCTTAACAGGCTTTAGGTGCACGAAATGAAATAGCAGCAACTAAGGAAGGCTTGACTTCACGCAAGTAGTGAAAGCAATTTTTTTCTCACACGCAAGCCGCCACATATTGTCTCTATTATATTAAATGCACATTATATGTATCCATATACATGGATGAGCCTGACCCTCAAGGATATCGCAGCTTGTCTCGGTTTCTGCAACAAATATAATTATCTCTCCCCACCCCCCTCTACACGGGATACTATTCCTTCCTTGGATACCACCCCCTTCAATTGCAATTCGTCCAGTTTCCCGCATTGCTTTTTCCCATCCTTTTATACTCTTACATGAAGAGAGGCACCCTTACAGTGATCGCCCGTCCGATTACGTTGGTTTGAGTTTTAAAACAATTAGTAGAGAAGCATTCTCATACAAATTCTACTTTCAGTTGCGTTATTTGTTGGACCCTTCATATATGCAGCCAGGAGAAGGCCGTGTGTTCAGTCATTACCTGTTGAGCCAATCATTGCACATTGATGTGTGGGATGGTGACTCACTTCTCCTTATAGGCTCGACTAGTTTGAAACTCAAGGTACGATTGATGGACTTTAGTTTGGCTCATAATCTCATTCCAACAACAATTTTGGTCAAAAGTTGCTGGGACGCTTTGCGTAGTATTCGTAAACAATCATATGATGACATGTGTTTTACCAATTGTGAATATCATGCTAGTAAGTGTTCCAAGCTCCAACCCCCTTCCCCTAAGCAACGTTGTTTTGAATTCTTCCGAGGCTCTTATCAACACTGAAAAGAGGAAGGGGAGGTAGGGGGGTACTTTTGGCTACATAGTTTTAAAATGTTTTAATTTTAAACCGCTTAGTCTTAAATGTTCCAATACTACCAACGAAGCGAGCAGTCGGACCAGTGTGTGAATCTGTATTGGCCAAGCACGGAAAATTACCAGTGTAATCTAGTGGACTAGCGTTTGCATTAAGTGCTATAGTTGGTAACATTTTCTTTACGTTTTACTTTAGCATTTACTACGTCAAGGTCGTGAAGCTGTAATCGTGGCGCATGAATTGGATGTAGTTTCCACCGAATTTTCGGAGGAGGCAGCCATGCAAAGTGGCGACATGGTAAGGATAATTGTTTTAAATTCCACTGGTAACATCTAGTCACATTTCCAACCGCTTCATTTTATTGCTTTAAAAGTAGATTGCTCGAGACTGTCTGATCTTTTCTTGGTACGGGACAAGGGTTAAAGAAGAGAAGAGAAGAGATTGGAACGAGTTTCAGCACTACCTCGCCCCAACCCATTCTTGTCAAGTTCACTACTTTTCGCTCGTGTTCAAGTTGATTAATGTTTATAGGTACCTAACAATAATAACTTTCTGAAAACAGTTCACTTGTCTTCCTCAGACTCGAACTGGTATCAAGTCTGCGGTAGAAGCCAAGCTGCATCTCAGAGTTGCAAACATCGGTCATACCAGTGAAGGACCGAAGGGAAAGCTAGGTAAGCGATCTCGGCCCCGCAGAGAGCAGCGAAAAAAAAAAAGGTGTTACATACCGGAGGCTAATAATATGGAAGGTTCCACGTCTAGGAAATGAGTCTAAATTAAAGATATCGGGGTTTGGAGATGATCTTCACGTTGAAATTACAAATACACATTGACATATCTCCATTCCGTTGACGTTGCTCAAGTTCGAGATAACGATTTACCGGAACTAAATTGTACGTCTTCCCCTCAGCTAAACATATTCGTCCTTGATTTGATTGGATACTTTTACGAAAGAACAATTTGACTGTCGCTATTTTAGGCAATGGACAACGTGTAACCAATCAAGTTTTTTTTTAAATTCATAGACGTGTACAAATTCATGTTTTTAAAAGAAGTTTTCCTTAAGTTCTTGTTAATTTTCTCTCGTGATCGCTTCTGTGTTATTCATGACAGCACTCTGAAAAAAGAGCTTTACATTCGTCTTATATTTTGTGTCAGGAACTGTCCCCAAGAAGCTCTCCACTGTTGTAATATCAGAAACTGTAAGAGAAACAGGAACAGCTAACACACTGACTGGTGAGTAGTGAGTGCGGCTATTCCAAGAACACAGATGGGTGTTCTACTGTTAAACACTTACCAGAGCGTGTTGTTGGTAAATGTAAAAAGTATATGAAACAAAAGCTTATCTTTGCAGATTCTACCAAAAACCACTCAATTTAAATGACTTAGCAAGAGTTTCTCCATGGAATTTCCGCCATATATACTTTGAGATTCAGATGCCTCAGGTCTTACAATACCACCCAATTTAATTTTATACAGATCTCTCTAGCCAGGGTTAATCGCTTCAGCGTGTTATGGTGTAGCAAGCGGGTAATTTTTTATAAGCTATTACAATTTGGGGGCGTTTAAAATCCGGAAAATGCAGCGGTTTTACACGCGTGTTTCTAAGGGGCTTAAGGAAGGATTTCAGGGCCGCTTCCTTATGCTTTCGCTCGATTTGCCTTACTGCTCTATTGCTTTGGAATGACTCTTTCTTGATGCCATTTACAGGAAACAAAAGTACCAAAATAAAGGCCAAGCAAATGGCAGAATGTGACGCAGAACTTTCAGCTGTGTTGTTCAGCAGGCAGGAAAAGATAGCCAAAGATGATCAGCCAGTCAGAGAAGCTAATGCCATTAGAAAAAGGTTAGCTGAGTTTTAGTTTGGGAAGTATTTTGGTGAAGTATTTTCGTGCGTCTGATATAATTTGACTGGATGGTTTATAAAGTGGATGTAAGACTTAATTTAGTCTGATCATCTCCCTTTCTTTCTATAAACAAGATCAATTTTATATTGGGTGTTGATGGCAACCCGGAGTTGTTTTGGTCTGGTTTTGCTAAGCTGGTTTTTGCTCGTTCCAAAAGAAACACCGCCACCCTCTTAACCCTTTCACTCCCAGTAATGACCACGACATGATTTCTCCTTACAATGTCAGTGCAATATCAAGTAGACAAGTAATGAGAAAAGCAGAACATTAACAAAGGATTATCATTTGATCCAACACCAATTCTTAGAACAAAATTTATAAGGAATGTATGGTGAACAGTAAGGAGAATTTTCATAGAGATCTTTGGAGTGAAGAAGAAAAACTGATAGCAGTTGCGAGTCGGTCACTCTATGTTCCTTGCGATTGACCTCGATTATGTTAGCAGGGTAGCGATCTTTCCCACAAACTTCGTAATCCCCTGGAAATTTTAGGACCATTCGCTTTAATTTTTGACACAGGAAACTTGAAAGAATGCAGGCAGTTCGGCAGATCCAAGGAGCTGATACCTCTACGGGCAATTTGATAGTAAGTCGATTTTTGCCTCATGCGTTTGTGGAATTCAGATTTTTTTTTGTCTTACGCACTTTTCAAGACGAATAACGTTTTCCTTTAGTCTTGTCCCACCGTCTTAAAGCCTCTCCGCATTTAGCGTTTACTTTCAAAATGTTCGTTTACAATTATATTTGTGCAATATTTTACTTGTTGTCAGATTCAAAAAGAGGAGAAATTACAAAGAACACGAGATCTTAAAACCATTCAGCTTTACAGGTCAGTTATACTCGGTAAAGGTTAGTATTTGAGTCAAGAACTTTACCTGTTTTTAAAGTCATTTTATCCCAACAGATATCACAATGCAGTTCTTTAAAATGTTTC